TTGCCCTCTCTCATCAATGAAGAAGAAGGTTTTGCAAGCAGCCCACTAATTTATGTGGAGAACTCTTCGGCAAAGTATTTTTTACAATTCCTCGAATGCCTTTAAGATGCATAATATTATATAATGGTTAATTGCATTATAATGAACTTTCAGTTGATCCACTACCTCTCAAAGGAGAATATTAAGCGGAGAAAAAGTGCGCATCATTTAATTGCACAAATGCGCTCCGTCCTGCTAATATATCATTTATCATTTTTATCGCCAATACCTTCTAGAAAATAACATGTACGTTTGCTGTCTGAATTAGTCGCTATTCCAGAAAATCTAACTAATAATTTTCATGTTTGATCTGGTTAATGTTGTTCCTAAATGTCTGTTTAAATTCTAGTAAACAATGTTGAAAACATTTCTTCTATCTTTTGTATTAGTTATCCATTCGCGCCTGATTACTACCGCAATGCCTGGTTGCCAATAATGTGTATGCTACTGGTTTATTAATGCATTGTGGGAAAAGTAACCTAGGAATCGGAACTCATACACGCAGAATGCTTTATGTATTTTCGATCCGCTGGGGTTGCTATGCCCAGTTTTTTTTTTCATATACATCTTTGACAAAACCTACAATATCATTTATCCTTAGAATTTCAAATACTTTCTCAATATTTGCTAATTCTACCTTTCAAATTTGTAGGCAGGATATCTTCACACTGAAGTTTGGAAAGTCGAACTGTCAGGTTCTTCATAACCTCGAACTTAGTGCAGCATGAAAGTTGCTCAAGCACAGAAGAATTAATGTCTCTCCCTGATTTTCTTTGTTAAAATATAGAATAAATATCTTAATGAATAGCGCAAAAGCTCTTGTTGAAGCAGATAATCAGCTGTTTAACAAAACAGAGTCTCTTCTCTAACGAATTCTGCTGTTGTTTAGCACTCTGTCTAAGCTTAAAAAAGCAAGTTTTGAAAAAGCAGATAAAAAAACATTGCTGAATACTATTAGCTTTGAAAACAACTAGGAAGTTTAA